GTTCTAGAAGGACATTAAATATTTGAATTTAACTTCTATTTGTTACTCACCTTATTCTCTAGTGTGAGAAGAATCAGCTGGCTTTTACTAGTCTTCATAGAATTCTTTGAAACTCTTTTCATGTTCAAAACAAGTCCATATAACAAATGTGAATGTGATTTAATGACTACAGAAATGATTAAGGTTAGCAGTTGTGATTGTATAATACTGTATGCAAGATATGAGGTTAAGTGAAAATGTTTGTTTCATATTAAATATCTACGTTTATTTGTATTTGTGTTCATTTGCCCCCTTGTCCAAAAGTGAAGTAACAGCATATGCTGAGACTATAGATGGTCAGAGTTTTGCTGTACCTTCATTTCTGGATAGATTAGAAGCAGTCTAATGTTGTGGTTAAAACTGATCTAGATTAGATGTATAAAAATCTTATGATGCAAATTTTAAAAAGATAAAGTATTTTAAGTAACCACTGAAAATCCTCTTATAGTCTGTTGTAGTTGTAGAAATGTTTTTTATTCCAAAGGATACCAGTTTCTTGAAGCAGTAGTTGCTATGGAGTGGTGGTCCTCATACCGCTGCCTTGTCTGTAACTATTGTTGAACCCATTGTATTCAGGATTTATGAGCAAAAATTTGGCATCACCTTAGGTAGTAAATGCAACTTACCGTGAAAATGCTTCAGTCTACCTCTTTTCCATTAACAGATTTAAGTAGTACTGCCTTTAGATGTTTTTGTATGGGCTTGTGAGTGATCCTCTTGAAAGGCACCATTTTACCTTCTACAGTTGTTTGATTTCTAATTCTATAACTTTATTGGGATTTTAAGTAATGGATAAGCTGTGCTTTACTATGTAGAATTTGATAGCTTATTTTGGTGTTTGTCTCAGGGGACATCCTCTGCATCAGCAGCTGCAAGCCTGTCTACAGTAACATCTGGGGATCTGGATCTATTCACTGAGCAGACTACAAAATCAGAAGAAGTGGCAAAGAAACAACTTTCCAAAGACTCCATCTTATCTCTGTATGGCACAGGAACCATTCAACAGCAAAGTACTCCTGGTAATGAATTTTGATATCTGCTTTCAGTGACATTACTAGAAGTACATTTTTTGTAATTATAAGTTTATATATCTTCTTTATTGTTCCATGTAGTAAGTGATTTTGTTGTTGTAGTTTGTACAATTATGAAGCTGAAATGAATGAGCATTAGAATTAAAAAATTAAGAGGCATTTACAGGATTCACAGAACTTTATTTGGAATTAACAAGCTGTTCATAGATCACTATTTCACAAGCTTACAGGACACAGATTATCTTTGATGAATTATTGAAACTTGATTTGCATGAAGTTTATGACTTTGTGTACAGTATATTTTCTGTGAAGATAAGCAATCTTCAGTTACCACACAGATTCCAAAAGATCTATGAATTTTTTAGTAATTATAACAAAATATTAGCCTAAGGCTTATTGTTTACAGAGTGTTAATCTTTCAGACCATTTCCTTTAAAATAATGAGCTGCATTTCACATATAAGCTAAAACTGTGTGGCACCCACCACATCCACTGAAGCCAGATATAATCAGCTCTCACTTGCCTGTGTTTGGTATTGGGAGACTAGTGGTACAAGTCAGCAAAAAAACAGTGTATGATATCATGCTACATAGTTTGGTCTTCACAATGGAAGGTATTTTGTGTGGGTGTTGCGTAGGATTTACATTTCTTAAGTAAATTTACTTAGGTAAATAATTGATTTGTCTGCATTCTAGAAATAACCAGCTCTCAGGGTTTAGGTGTGGGTTGGTCTGAGTAGTAGGAGCAGCCAAACTGGAATGAAAATGTTTGCTGTGAGTAGTTCAGAAAGACAGTTTCCTGTGATTATAGTGGTGAGTGCAACTACTCATGATAGCTCTGTCTTCATTCATTTTCTTTTTGTGGTGCAGGTGTGTTTATGGGAACCACAAATATACCATTTACCTCACAAGCACCAGCTGCATTTCAGGGTTTTCCATCGATGGGTGTACCTGTGGCTGCAGCTCCTGGCCTTATAGGAAACGTGATGGGGCAAAGTCCAAGTATGATGGTGGGCATGCCCATGCCCAATGGGTTTATGGGAAATGCACAAACTGGTGTGATGCCACTTCCTCAAAATGTTGTTGGCCCCCAAGGAGGAATGGTGGGACAAATGGGTGCACCCCAGAGTAAGTTTGGCCTGCCACAAGCTCAACAGCCCCAGTGGAGCCTCTCACAGGTAGGGGTCATTTAATTTCTAACCTTCTCTCAAATCAAAGAAACCAGATTTATTTTCTAAATCATTTTTTTTAAGTCTTGAGATTTGACAGAAAGAATTTAATAGGGATAATATGTATAAGGTCAAAAGTATCTATAAATATTATGAAGTTGTATCAGATAGACAAATGCTGTGTTATTAGTCCTGTTTTAGAGTATTCTGTAAAGAAAGGTTAAATGTCTTTCACTTCAAATTGTAATGTAACCCTAATGGTGAACACCCCTAATCTGTTTGCTAATGGCCAGAAATTATCTTAGGCATCATGAAAGACTTCCTTTCTGCCACCTCTGAGGTTAGCACTAAGCTTTACTCAGCTTACTGGTGGGGCATTTTTTACAGCTCACGTAGACAACTAATCTTCATTAATAATTTTGGGGTCTGTTATTAGAAAAAAAATCTAGTCTCATATTCTCAAAGCACTATATTATGAGGGATCTGAGGCTATTTTTCAGGTCATATGGTTACTGCCCCATGGCTCTGTAAAAATTATTTTTGTTCAAAAACCTTTGTAAAGTTGTATTTTCTTTTTACATACCCTGTGATGACTTTTATGGTTTAAAGGAGTACAAAAAGATTCAGTTTCCATAAGATGTGAACAAGACATCCCCTCATATTATAAAATCCTATTTCTACCTAAGTTATCAACTTTTGTTTCGGGTGCTCTGTTCTGACTTTTCTCTAGCTGCACAGTAAAGGCTCTTAGATAGGTTCATGCTCCCACTCCTCTTCCTTTTATACTTCCCATTGATGTTGCTCCAGCATTTTGGCAATCTTGGTTTCTGTGTGGTCACTTGTTTTACCTTTAGAGCATTCATGGAATAGTCTAGAGTGATTTCTAACATTAGCACAATCACTACCTATCCCAATTAATTTTTCTACCACCATTTACCAGAATATAGGCAAGAGATTGGTCTTTACCCATTGCGAATCTAAAAAATTGTATGTGCCAAATGTCAGTCACATGGTCAACATGCTGAAGCACACCTAGCCCAGGGTTAAGGTGCTAGATGAACCAGGAAGGAGTTAACATTCACTCTTACTTCCAAATAATGCAGAACGGTGATGCTGTTCTTCAGCACTCCATCAGTGGAATCTACTGGCCAACGGCAAGGTGGTTAAGATGTCCTTTAGTAGGTATGAAGATGTGATCTGCTCCTTCAGACACTTATGCCTGATTAGTGATGTAGTTCATGTTAGTGTCTTTGAAACTGTAAATAAGTCAACTATATTAAATTGGGAACACAGTCTAAGTCAACTATATTAAATTGGGAACACAGTCTAACTCTGAGTGTAAGTTTTAAATCCAATCTATATACTAAATCTTGCTTTTCTTTCTCTTATCACCAGTTTTGGAAGTAAGAGAACCACAGGGTTAAGATGCTTTTTTATATATATATATATATAATTTGACTCTAGTCTTAAAGAAAAATACATGTAATCTTATACTTTACTGCATATAATGAAAATAACTTTTAGATGTTTATGTTGGTAGATCAGCAAGAGAAATAAATGCTTTATGACCACTTTTTAAATATTTAGGAAGTATTTAGAGCCATTTAAGATTTTAACAGAATAACAGCTATCATACAAAGTTTATAGGATAACTTTAGACTATTTTACTTTCTAAAATTTTCTTACTCATTAGTAGTAAAGCACAACATCGTAGTGTAGTTGAAAGTTAGAGTAACTGACTCATTATATACCCAGATACAAATTCCAAGATTGCTTTGGTATTTTTTTAAGTTGTGGTTAATCTTTGGGGAATTGAATCTAGAAAGTAGATAAATAAAGAACAAGAAGGGAACAAAGTAGCTATTTACTTTAAGAAATGTTTGTATGTTACTTTGCTTTTATTCCAGTGCTTGGACTAGTTGTCACATTAATAAAAATATGATCAATTATGTGGCTAAAGAAACAAGAATTAGAAATGAAGTAAGCCTCTTGAATTAAGCCTTTTGTGTGTTTCACAGATGAATCAACAAATGGCTGGCATGAGTATCAGTAGTGCAACCCCTACTGCGGGTTTTGGCCAGCCCCCCAGCACAACAGCAGGATGGTCTGGAAGCTCATCGGGTCAGACTCTCAGCACACAACTATGGAAATGAAAACTGCAATACAAGTTTCATCCAGAACTACCACCTGACATTCCTTGCTAAAATGCATCTAGTTCCCCTGTTTATTCATATACATATTTTTTCTTCTTTTTACCCATTTGTTCATATTAAGAATGATCTGATTGACCGTGTTGGTCTGTACTGATTAAATTTGATGTGGTGAAAAGCAAGTTGATAAACCATTTTATGTCAAGGGCAGCTTTGTTCATATTTCCCATGATTTCATATACTGCATTACTTGAGAAGCTGCTCAACTTGCAAAATCAGTTTTCCTGTCAATAAAATTATAGCTCTAATGTTTGCATATAAGGGAAGTAGTTATCATGTTAGTAATACCTCTAACAGTATAAACCCCATCCCCAAATTAGCCAGTAATCCTGTAGGAAGGTACTGTATGATCAAATGTTTAATCATATAAATAGAATGTAAATGTCTCACTGAGCACTGTTTTCTAGTGTATCAAAAATTCTTTTATTTCATCATTCACTTCACTGTGCTGTTGTTATGATGTGCTTAACAGGGAACGTGGTTAGTGAAAGGAAGATAAACCTGGATGTTACTCCAAAACTTAGTTTAATGAATGTTTAAAGAATTCAAATTTTATCTGCCTTTTGTGTAATTTGGATCTCTTCTTAATGTACATAGTGCTAACATGAAGACCTTTTCTGCACTATATGCAAACAGGGTAACTAAAAGCCACTTTGAATCCTTGAAGGTATATCCAGGTTTATGACAGTAATTGTGTTTACATTTTATGGTGCCTAGTATTGATAAAATGTTATTTCCCTATATTAAACAGATGAATCCATAGACCTTTTCATTTGTGGGTTGTTTATTTCCTATGATGTATACTGCCACTAACCTTCCAAAGATTAATGTTGCACAGTCAGGAATCAGGAATGTTTACCTGATAAAATACTTGTCTGTTTTTAAAACCTGTTCAGGTCTACTAATTATAAGGGAAAATTAGAGGAAAAAAAATATATAAGATACTCAGAGTGGTATCTTGCAGTATCGGTACTGTACAAAAATCTTCCAATTTAGTTGTAGAGAAAACATGCAGAACAAATGGCAACAAAACATACATTTTGTACTGTCCAATTAGCTTATGTTAACAGATAAGCTCCATGTAAACAAATGTCCATCCAGATGACAAGAAAGGCTTTTGTACTGAAGTAAAACAGACAATACCTGAATGCTCTGCAGGCTCAACCCCAAACATCCTCTTCCATATGGATCCACTGGCTGGGCAAAACTGTACCAGTTGCTGCTTCAATTTATACCTCAATTTTCACTGTGTCCAGGTGGTACTTTGGCTCGTTGGCTAGATTAACCTTCTCTGTCCGAGTGTGCCACACAAGAACCTGAAGGGGAAGGAAACAGCTTGGGTACCACATTCTTGATGCTGACGCTTGAGGTCAGGGAGCACAAGTGAAATGAATACCTTAGTGCAGTTATTTGCTTTCGGTTCCAGTTCTTCCACTGTTGTTATCTGCTTGAGAAAATCAGATTCTTGCATCCCTGGCTGGGATCCACGACGCTTAAATACAGCTTTTGGATTGGACAAGATGACCTGAAGACTTACAGCAAATCCTTTGTGAAAAGTAAAAAAAAAAACCAAACTTTAAAATACTGGTGTACTTCTCTTTTTTCTGTGTAATTTTGGTGACATCAAAAACAATTTTTAAAATACCTACAGTGTGTCAGGTCTTGGTTTACAAAGTTGAACAGGAACATTACCTGTATTACAGTCTCAAAGGAAAATCAATCATTACAATATTGTACATTCCACATAGGGGTGTACACAGGAGCATCTATGCGAAATATGAAGGTTAGTCTGTTTTAAGGGTGGATAATGTTTTTGCCAGAGGGATATAAGATGGCCGAGTAGGAGCAGCTCTGGATTGCAGCTCCCAGCAAGAGCGTGGAGGGTGAGTGGTCACCTTCCAGATGGATTTTTATTGCCCATAGACCAGGAGATTCCCAGGCAGAGGAGCGCCACGGGTTTCCAGCATGGCTGTTTTGGCCAGGTGTGGCAGGTCTCTGCACAAAAAGTCACATGGGTCCAGGCGCCATTTCAGCTGGCAAGTGGAGCACCTGGGAGACAGAGTCGCCCAGTCGACTGATAAAAAGGGGACTGAAACAGGGAACCAGGCCAGGAGATTCCCAGGCAGAAAAGCACCACAAGTCTCTAGCGCAGCTGTTTGAGCTGGCGCAGTGGGTGTCTGCACAAAAACTCACACAAATCTGAGCGCCTTTTCAACTTGCGACTGATAAGTCTGGGAGACAGAGTCACTCGTTCAACTGATAAAAAGGGGACTGAGACAGGGAGCCAGGTGATCAGGTTAAGCCGGTCCCACCCCCACAAAGACTGGCAATCTGAAACAGTCTGGACTGAGAGTTTCATAACAAGCACAGCTAAACCCAGGATGGTCCAGCTCTGTGGGGGAGGGGCATCCGCCATTACCGAGGCAGTCTGCCACTACTGAGGTAGCCTGCCATTGCTGAGGCAGTCTGCTATTAACAAGGCAGCTCACCATTGCCGAGGCAGTCCGCCATTACAGAGGTGGGCCGCCATTGCCAAGGCAATTCTAACTATACCCCTATAAACGTGACTGCAGGGAAGTTCACATGGCAGCTGGGCAGAGCCCACAGCAGCTCAGCAACACCTCTGCTGGCAGACGATGACTAGGCTGCCTCCTCACTGGGCAGTGCATCCCTGAAAAGCAGCAGCACAACAGAAACATAAATAAAGCCCTACCTTCCCGGGACAGAGCACCTGGGGAAAAAAAAAAAAAGGTGGTTATGAGTTCTGCTGCAGCAGACTTAAACGCACCTGCCCAGCAGCTCTGAATGGAACAACAGAGCTCACAGCTCAGCACTTGAGCTCCTATAAAGGATGGACTGTCTCCTCAAGCAGCTCCCTGACCCCCATATATCCAAAGAGTCATCTCATAAAGGAGAGCTCAGACTGATCTGGTGGGTATCCTTCGGGGATAAAGATAGCAGAAGAAGAAACTGGCAGCAACCCTTACTGTTCTGCAGCTGCTACAGGTGATCCCCAGGCAAGCAGGGCCTGGAGTGGACCTCTGCAGTCAGGGCAGAGGGGCCTGACTGTTAGAAGGAAAACTAAGAAACAGAAAGAAATAACTTCCTCATCTACAAACTGGATGTCCACTCAGAGACCCCACTGGAAAGTCACCAACTACAAAGACCACAGGTAAATTCACAAAGATGGGAAGAAATCAATGCAAAAAGGATGAAAACAACGAAAACCAGAACGCATCTCCTCTTCCAAGGAATCACAACTCCTCACCAGCAAGGGAACAAAGCTGGATGGAGAATGAGTCTGATGAATTGACAAAAACAGGCTTCAGAAGATGGGTAATAAGAAACTTCTCTGAGCTAAAAGAACAATGTTCTAACCCAATGCAAAGAAACTAAGAACCTTGAAAAAGGTTTGATAAAATGCTAACAAGAATAAACAGCTTAGAGGAGAATATAAATGAATGGATGGAGCTGAAAAACAACACAAGAACTTCATGAAGCATACACAAGCTTCAATAGCTGAATTGACCAAGCAGAAGAAAGGATATCAGCAATTGAAGATCAACTCAATGAAATAAAACGAGAAGGTAACATTAGAGAAAAAAGAGTAAAAAGAAACGAACAAGCCTCCAAGAAATACAGGATTATGTGAAAAGACCTAATCTACGTTTGATAGGTGTACCTGAATGCGACAAAGAGAATGAATCCAAGCTGGAAAACACTCTTCAGGATATTATCCAGGAAAACTTCCCCAACCTAGCAAGGCAGGCCAATATTCAAGTCCAGGAAATACAGAGAACACCACAAAGATATTCCTCAAGAAGAGCAACCCCAAGGCACATAATCGTCAGATTCACCAGGGTTGAAATGAAGGAGAAAATGCTAAGGGCAGCCAGAGAGAAAGGTAGGGTTACCCACAAAGGGAAGCCCATCAGACTCAGAGCAAATCTCTCAGCAGAAACCCTACAAGCCAGAAGAGAGTGGGGACCAATATTCACCATCCTTTAATGAAAGAACTTTCAACCTAGAATTTCATATCCAGCCAAAGGAAGTTTCATAAGCAAAGGAGAAATAAAATCCTTTACAAACAAGCAATTACTGAGAGGTTTCATCACCACCAGGCCTGCTTTACAGGAGCTCCTGAAAGAAGCATTAAACATAGAAAGCAACAACCAGTACCAGCCACTCCAAAAACATACCAAATGGTAAAGAACATCAACACAATGAGGAAACTGCATCAATTAACTGGCAAAACAACCAGCTAGCATCAAAATGGCAGGATCAAATTCACACATAACAATATTAACCCTAAATGTAAATGGGCTAAATGCCCCAATCAAAAGACACAGACAAGCAAACTGTATAAAAAGTCAAAACCCATCAGTATGCTGTATTCAGGAAACCCGTCTCACATGCGAGTATACACATAGGCTCAAAGGGATGGAGGAAGATTTACAAAGCAAATGGAGAGTAAAAAAAAAAGGAGTTGCAATCCTAGTCTCTGATAAAATGTACTTTAAGCCAACAAAGATCAAAAGAGACAAGGATATTACATAATGGTAAAAGGATCAATGCAACAAGAAGAGCTAACCATCCTAAATATATATGCACCCAATACAGAAGCACCCAGATACATAAGCCAAGTTCTTAACGACCTACAAAGGGACTTGGACTCCCACACAATAATAGTGGGAGACTTTAACACCCCACTGTCAATATTAGATCAATGAGACAGAAAATTAACAAGGATATCCAGGACTTGAACTCAGACCTGGACCAAGCAAACCTAATAGACATATACAGAACTCTCCACCCCAAATCAATAGTATATACATTCTTCTCAGCACCACATCACACCTACTCTAAAATTGGCCACATAATCCGAAGTAAATCACTCCTCAGCAAATGCAAACAATGGAAATCATAGCAGTCTCACAGACCACAGTGCAATCAAGTTAGAACTCAGAATTCAGAAACTAACTCAGAACCGCACAGCTTCATGGAAACTGAAGAACTGGCTCTTGAATGTTGACTGGATAAACAATGAAATGAAGACAGAAATAAAGATGTTCTTTGAAACCAATGAGAACAAAGGCGAAATACCACAATCTCTGGGATACATTTAAAGCAGTGTCTAGAGGAAAATATATAGCAATAAATGCCCACATGAGAAGCAAGGAAAGATCTAAAATCGACACCCTATCATCAAAACTGACAGACCTAGAGGTGTAAGATCAATAAAAGTCAAAACCTAGCAGAAGACACGAAAAAACTAAGATCAGAGCAGAACTGAAGGAGATAGAGACACAAAAAATCCCTTCAAAAAATCAGTAAATCCAGGAGCTGGTTTTTTGAAAAGATCAGCAAAATAAGCAGACCACTAGCCAGATTAATAAAAAAGAAAGGAGAGAAGAATCAAATAGATGCAATAAAAAATGATAAAGGGGATATCACCACAGATTCCACAGAAATTCAAACCACCATCAGAGAGTATTACAAACAACTTGATGCACATAAACCAGTAAACCTGGAAGAAATGGATAAATTCCTGGACACTTGCATACTCCCAAGCCTAAACCAGGAAGAAGTTGAAACCCTGAATAGACCAGTAACAAGGGCTGAAGTTGAGGCAGCAATTAAGAGCCTACCAAACAAAAAAGTCCAGGTCCAGATAGGTTCACAGCTGAATTCTACCAGACATACAAAGAGGAGCTGGTACCACTCCTTCTGAAGCTATTCCAAACAATCCAAAAAGAGGGAATACTTCCCAAATCATTTTATGAGACCAACATCATCCTGATACCAAAACCCAGCAGAGACTCAACAAGAAAAGAAAACTTCAGGCCAATCTCCATGATGAACATAGATGCAAAAATCTTCAATAATATACTGGCAAACCAATTGCAACAGCACATCAAAAAGCTTATCCATCACGATCAAGTAGGCTTAATCCCAGGGATGCAAGGCTAGTTCAACATACGCAAGTCAATAAATGTAATTCACCACATAAACAGAACCAGAGACAAAAACCACATGATTATCTCAATAGATGCAGAGAAGGCCTTTGACAAAATTCAACAGCCCTTTATGCTAAAAACTCTCGTAAACTAGGTATTGATGAAATGTATCTCAAAATAATAAAAGCTATTTACAACAAACCCACAGCCAATATCATACTGAATAGGCAAAAAGTGGAAGCATTCCCTTTGAAATCTGGCACTAAACAAGGATACCCTCCGTCACCACTCATATTCAATACAGTATTGGAAGTTCTTGCCAGAGCAATCAGGCAAGAAAAAGAAAGAAAGGAGTATTCCCTTAGGAAAGGAGGAGTCAAATTGTCTCTATTTGCAGATGACATGACTGTATATTTAGAAGATCCTATCATCTCAGCCCAAAATCTCCTGAAACTAATAGGCAACTTCAGCAAAGTCTCAGGATAGAAAATCAATGTGCAAAAATCACAAGCATTCCTATACACCAATAACAGACTTAAAAAGAGCCAATTCAATAACAAACTGCCATTCTCAATTGCTACAAAGAGA